GGCTGCCTTCTGCAAGCCCCCCACTGGGGATTTGGCCCACAACTTGGGCATGTGCCCTGATTGGGAATTGAACTGGTGACCTCTTGGTACATGGGTCAATGCTCAATCACTGAACCACACCTGCTGGATGCCTGGAACATCTTGTCTATCAGATACAAGAATTTTATTGAACACGGCAAAAGTTTGTGTCATGACTTGGGAGCGGATTGAAGAAGTTGTTACTGGTCAAAATAGGACACCTCGAAGTTATCAATAAAGATAACTATGGTGGCCCTGGCTGGTTTGGCTCAACAGAGTGTTGGCCCGCGGACCAGAGGGTCCTGGTTTCGGTTTCCACTAAGGGCATGTACCTCAGTTGCAGTTTGTCCCTGGCCCTGGTTGGGTCGTGTGGGTGGCGACCACTCAATGTGTCTCTCTCACGTTGATGTTTCTCTCTCTCTCTTCCTCCCATTGTATCTGAAGATAAATGCAAAAAATGTCCTCGGGTGAGGATAAAAAAAAAAATACTACAGTGCATCAAAATATATATCAAAACTGTTTAAGACTGCTAGTGCAATAACTCATTATTTTGCAAACTGGTAAATAAAGGGAAAGAATCACAAAAAATAGAATGATCAAAACTTTTACTATGTGAATTGTACCACTGGATGACCAGATAGTAGCTGTATATATATATTTGTAATAAAGGCATTCCAGTTAAGAGATGAAGAAATGAGCTCTTGGCCAGGTGGCTCAGTTGGTTGGAGTGTTGTCCTGTACACGGAAAGATTGTGGGTTTGATTCCTGGTCAGGGCACATACCTGGGTTGCGGGTTTGATCCCTGTTGGGGCCCATATGGGAGGCAACCGCTGGATGTTTCTCACATCAGTGTCTGTCTGTCTTTCTCTCCTCTTTCTCTCTCTTCCTCTGTCTCTAAAAGTCAATAAAAAACATGTCCTCAGGTGATGATTAAAATAAAAAAGAAATGAAGGGGAATGATAGATTTAGACTGACTGGACCCAGGCATTGAACATGCCTCCTGATGTAAGAAAACACCACCCTTAAGAGTAGATGGGGCCCTGGCCAGTTTGGCTCAGCGGTTAGAGCGTCGGCCTGCGGTCTGGAGAGACCCAGGTTTGGTTCCTTCGGTTGCAGTTTGTCCCCGGCCCTGGTTGGTCATGCGGGTGGCAGCCACTCGATGTGTCCCCTTCACGTCGATGTTTCTCTCTCTCTCTCCCTTCCTTTCTCTCCCTCCCACTCTATCTGTACAAAAAATGGAAAAATATTCTTGGGTGAGGATAAAAAAAAAAAAGAGTAGATGGGGTGGGCTCTCCCTCCTAGGAGCATGCCCATGCCTTTCCCTTCCCCTTCTTCTTTCCCTACAGGTATACATCTCCTAAACTCTAGGGGACCTCACAAGACTTGCAACCCAGAAGCAGTTAGCAGCTAACCCTCTGAACCTGACCCCAAGGCTCCCTTTTCTCTGACTTTAGTGAGACAAAGCAGCCCAGCCTAGACTCTCCTGTTTACTTCTACCCTAGGCCCTTTCTTGCTTCACTGTCCCCTGCTTTAATAAATGTCTTCTAAAAAAAAGAGAGAGAGTAGACAGGGAATGGGAAGGTGATGGGGGGGTGGGGTTCAACCTGTATCTAAGAAACTTATCAGAGAATCATAATAAGTGGACCTTATTTGGGTCCTAATTCAAATAAACTTTAAAAGTTGGTATTTGAGAGAATTTGAAATTTGAATGCTGACTAGATATTTGAAATTAAGGGACTATCAGTTTTTAGGCATGTAATAGTACTATAATTTTTATGGTATATGATTTTTTCAAGTCCTTATTTTTTAGAGCTACATACCAAAACATTTACGAATGAGATATTAGGGATTAGCTTCAAAATAATATGAAGGAAAGGGGGTATAGATGAAATAAGATCAGTGTTGAGTTGATAATTTTTGAAGCTGGATGATAGATTCATGTCTGATAATTTTGTATTTAATTAAAAGTCTTATCTTCAAAATAGCAGAGGAAAAGAATCACTACATGTGGAAAGAGATTAAACATGAGTAGAAAGGGAAGATCTGTACATTTTAGTACCGCATATGTAGTAATTCCTGTCTTTAGTAAAAAATAGTGGAAAGGTGACTATATGCCATGGATCACTTGAAAGACCAAAGAGAGTAATGGTGTTTTTTTCTTGAACCTCTTGGTGAAGATATTAAATGCAGTATTTCATCATATTAATGGGTTTTTTGATAATGAGAACTACAAGAAGAAAGCTAGATTTGCATTTTTATTTTTAAAGTTTGCAAAGTATTTAGGTTGATATCTACTGTGGCATGGCCATCTTTCCAAAAGAGTTAAATTTTTGGACTCTGAGCTAAAATGGTGAAATTAAAGGAATCATTATATTTTGAGATAAGAGTCTAGGTCAGACTTGAGGACTGAGAAACTTGGTTTCTGTGTGTCTTTTAGAGATGTTCTGGATATAAGTCTGTAAAATATGCCCAGTCAGCAGATTTATTTATCCTTATTGGTTTATTCCCTCTTATTCTCTGTAAAAAAAATCGTGAAAAATATTTTCTTAAATTTTTCTGTTTTGAATCTTCAAAAAAAATTTTTTTTTCTTTATTGATTTTGGAGAGAGAGTAAGGGAGAGAGATAGAAACATTGATGAGAGAGAACATTAATTGGCCGCCTCCTGCATACCCCCCACTGGGGATTTGACCCACAACCCAGGCATGTGCCCTGACTGGGAATCGAACTGGTGGCCAGGCAATGTTTTGAATCTTTTAATTTACATTGGCTGCCCTTTCAAAATCTACCTTCCCACTCTGTCTCTTAGAGTACTTTTTTCATGGGAGGAATAACATAATTTTACTTTGGTCAAATGGAAGAAACATTCAGTATTCTTTTTTTTTTTTTATCCTCACCTGAGGACATTTTTTCATTTTTTGTTCAGATAGAGTGGGAGGGAGAGAGAGGAAGAGAGAGAGAGAGAAACATTGATGTGAAAGGGACACATCTAGTGGCTGCCACCTGCACAACCCAACCAGGGCCGTGGACAAACTGCAACCAAGGTACGTGCCCTTAGCGGGAACCGAACCTGGGTCTCTCTGGACCGCAGGCCAGCGCTCTAACTGCTGAGCCACACTGGCCAGGGCTCAATATTCTTATTAAAAGTCTTTGTTTTGCCTGGCCAGTGTGGCTCAGTAGTTGAGCATCAACCCATGCACCAAGAGATCCCTGGTTCAATTCCCGGTCAGGGTACATGCCCAGGTTCCCCAGTGAGGGGCATGCAGGAGGCAGCCAATCGATGTTCTCTCTCATCAATGTTTCTATCTCTCTCTCCCTTCCATTCCTCTCTCTAAAGTCAATAAAGAAATAAAAAGTAATTGTTTCATGAAATTAAACAAGAACTCAGTCTCTTAAGATATAAATACTTGAGATAAAAGACCAGCCTTTGGATATGCTAATATTTTAATGTCCACGGGCATGACATTGAAAACCACAGTTTGCCTTCAGATAGCTCTATTTATTTTGAAGAAAAGTTTCTACAGATTGCTCAGCCTACAAATGGAGAGTTTGCTTGCAGCTGGTCAGAGCTGAAATAAGATCCTTGAAAACCACCTGTAGAGGTTATCTATAGCTTATATTTATTCTGCTGGGTGTTTGATATTTATGTGTTAATCATCTGGTGGCTGTGGCTTCGCAAAGTTATACAGCAAAGAACATATATAAAATTAAGTAATAAGGGGGGAAAAGTTTAGTGTGGTATCTTTTTCAGTGGAATTAGACTGGAAAATACAGAGGTGTGTGGTGTAGTTTTGGTTCAAAGAATGTGATATGGACTTGGTTTCTTTTTAATTCGGTTTATGGCTGGCTAGCATTGTCTTTAATATATGTAAATTAAATATGAAACTAAGAAAATTTAAGTTGATACCTTAGATCTCTTTCTTTTTGTGCTCATTCCTTCTCCCCCTTGTCGTTTTAGAAAGACAAATAATTAAACAGAACGTTAGAAACCTCTTAGAAACAAGTTAAGCACTTTACCCATTAGAACCGGGCACTTGGCTATAGCTAGGTAACTCACTGGGACAGGCCTGTATTTTTTAAATTTTAAAGGGAAAGATGCCATCTGTTGGACATCTCGCAAACTGATGGTATCAAAATGTATGGACCTAAATACTTTGTTTGGTTGGTTATTTTGCTTTGTTTTATTTTTTGGCTTGGGGGGTGTGGCGAAACTTTTACTGAGATACTAAGCACTGAGAATCTGTACGAAAGTCTTCCTTCCTTTGAACATTGAGCAGGAGTGCTACTCCCATTCCAAGACAAAGAAATTGATCTTTAGTCAACTGATATTGGAGAGCAGAAGAGCAATAGCTCTTTGTTTACATTGTAAACATGTAGGCTTTGTTTTTGAAAGAAGCATGCAGCTAACTCAAACCAGGGTGGAGTACTAGACAGTAGTAGGGCTGGGACTAGAGTGTGACAAGTGAGGTTTTCTTGAGTGCAAAGTTTAAGAGGTTGCAAAAAGGCTCAGTAATAAACAAAATAGTATATATTTTTGAAAATATATTTATATATATTTTTTTCTCCTCACCCGAGGACATTTTTCCATTTTTTGTTCAGATAGAGTGGGAGGGAGAGAGAAGAAGAGAGAGAAACATCAATGGGAAGTGGACACATCAAGTGGCTGCCACCCGCACGACCCAACCAGGTCTGGGGACAAACTGCAACCGAGGTACATGCCCTTAGTGGGAACTGAACCTGTGTCTCTCTGGACCGCAGGCCGACGTTCTAACCGCTGAGCCAAACCGGCCAGGGCAGAAAATAGTATTTTAATGTATTATAATTTTGGACCCTTGGAAATAGGGGAGGTTTAGGGGACATGGTAGAAGGTAGCACAAGGGGATAGGTTATCAGTGGATTCAAGAATCAGATTCTGTATTTTGTATAAAACATTTTTGTCCGTTCTGAGGTCAATATGTTATTTAATTTTTTTTTTTCCTTGTAGCATGGCGGACACCGACCTGTTTATGGAATGTGAGGAGGAGGAGCTGGAACCATGGCAGAAAATCAGTGATGTCATTGAGGATTCTGTAGTTGAAGATTATAATTCAGTGGATAAAACTACTACAGGTAACAAAAACTCTTTTAATCTTACATTGTTTAAGTTGAGTCAATTGAAGGGAATATTTGTTAAGAAAGTATGAGGTGGAGAAGGCCTAAGAATCCAGGGATGCCTCATTGTGACACTGATGCTGCCTTTATTTTCCAATGTCTAATTTGTATGTGCCTCAGTTTTCTCATATGTAAAGCTAGACACATTGTATTTAATTTGTTAAAAACATTGAGCGTTGTATTAACCAATATTTACCAAACATCTAGCAGTCCTTTTACCTTATGATGTATGAATGAGAACGCACAGTGGTGATGTATGTCAGTGCCCATTTAAGCACACAGTCAAAAAACAGGTTCCCATAGTTTTGCCTTTTTTTTTTCTTTGTTTGCTTATTTTACTTGAACTTAGTTTGATCTGTGAACTGAGTAGAATTTGCTTTGTATATGCCTTCAAGGACAGTTTACAAATTTAGGCTTATTAGCTTATCTTTCAAAAAGGTGATTTTGCAGGGTCAGGTTTTAGCCCTGAATTCATAAAGTGGGTGGTAGTCTCCCTCCCCCCAATTGTACCTGTTGCTCTCTTTATTTTTATTTCCTTGCCTTGGGACCTGAAGATAGCATTGATTTGGGCTAAAACAGGATATAGTTTAGGGTCTTGTGGATGGCTTACTATGCATGGTTATGAATACTAGTCGTGGTGATAATAAACCTTTGAGTCCTAGTGGTTTGCTTGAGCTGTATAAGCAACACATTAAAATCCTGGTTCAGTGAGCTTGTGATTTAACTTCATTAATCAGGAAATGTGACACAGAGAAGGTGGCATTGTGTCTAATTGGTGGAGTGAGGGACAGATAGGAGGAGAAATAGATCAACAGTTGGATTTACAAATAAAGCAAGGAACTTTTTGGCTAATAGAGACCTACAATTAGATGGAAAGGGAAGATTAGAACACTATTCGTTAGTGTCAACTGTCCCTGCCTCCAAGTGACTGTGCCTCCCCTTCCCCACAGTTTCTGTGAGCCAGCAGCCAGTCTCGGCTCCATTGCCCATCGCTGCCCATGCTTCTGTTGCTGGGCACCTCTCTACATCCACCACCGTTAGTAGCAGCGGGGCACAGAACAGCGACAGTACAAAGAAGACTCTTGTCACACTAATTGCCAACAACAATGGTAAGTGGGATTATTGGGAAATTCTTCCTGGGTTAGAGGGATGAGAGAATAAAAAAGGTCTTAGAAATAGCTGTTTTTGTTTAGCTTTACTTAGGAACTGATGTGGTTCTGTTAGTTTGAGAGTGAATTTAGTAATGGTTTTCTGATAGGGAAGTGATTCAGTAGGTGGTGCTGTTCCTTCTGAGTTAGTGCTGATTTGATAATGGTGTTTCAAGTCAGAGTGCAGCCGATTCTTGCCGCTGATAATTTCTAGGAGAGAAAATGTAAACCCAAACTTTGTGATCTGGGTTGACTTTTTGTTGTTGTTTGATTGTTTTTGTTTTGTTTGTTTGTTTTTTAATTAGAAGAGCCCCACTAGTTTGTTAAGAATCCTCCCAGAGCAGATTTATTTTGTATTTTCTCTGACAGATTCATTGGGTTATTGGTTCCTGGTATGGAAAACAGGGTAAGGGTTGTTGTCTACTTGAAGGAACTGGTGAAAGAGTATTGTTTTTAGTGTATTTATTGACTAGAGAGACTGTATAGTATTGGGTTTTGTTTCATTTCTGATGACTGTTTCTACACTCTGAAGATGAGTTGTTGGCAAGTTATGGCTCAAGATTTAAAACTAGAATAAGCACCTTCATAGAATCATTGCATTGCTGCAAAGGACTTATTTTTAATTATTTTCTTTTCTTTAAAAATAAAGTTTATTTATTCATACAAGAATAATATGTGTACTGTAGAAAAAGTAGAAAGAAAAAAATTAAAGGAAGAAAAAATTTTTAAAACGATAATCCCACTTCCTGGATATAACAATTTCTAACTCTTTTTCTGTACATGTGTGTACTTTTGTATACTTCTTTATGCTATACTTAGTAATTCACTTTTTACAAAAATGAATCATACAGACTCTATATTACTCTTTGCCTGCTGTTTTTCTTTAGTATGTAGTAAATATCTTCTTGTTTTACTAAATATTTATCTGTACCATTTTGATGACTATGTCCCTTTGCTTGGTTAACTATTAATAGGTTGTAAGAGGGGTATATTGCTCTTTTATTTATTTATTTTTATTTTTATATTTTTTATCCTCACCCGAGGACATTTTCCCATTTTTTGTTCAGATAGAGTGGGAGGGAGGGAGAGAGAGAGAAACATCAATGTGTCCCTTTCGCGTCGATGTTTCTCTCTCCCTCCCACTCTATCTGAACAAAATATGAAAAAATGTCCTTTGGTGGGGATAAAAACAAAAAAAAGAGCTATTGTGACCATTTCTTTCTATCTTTTCTTATCTTCTTAGTTTTGAGAATATAGAACTAAATGAAATCGTTGGACCCAAGGTCATCACAATTTTAAGGACTTTGGTCAATACTTTTTTTTGGATTGGCCGTCTAGAAATGTGTCAGTTTATATTTCCATTAGAAGTGCATATGGTGTTCTTACTTTTGTATGTAACCACTTATTTCCCTATTGTTGGACATTTATTACAGTTCCAATTTTTTGTGATTACGTACTACTATGGTGAACATTCTCAGGCATTTTATCACCCACTATATAAGCGTATCTGCAGTATAAAGCAAGATTGTGAGATCAGGCATTTAAAATTTGATAGTGTCAAATTGCCCTAATTGGTTGCTCTAAAAAAGTGCCCACCAGTAGCTCTTTCCCCAGATTATTGCCAACTTTAAGTATTACTAAACTGAAATCTTTGTAATTTCCATAGGTATTTTTTCAGTCTTTGGGTACTGAAAATATATTTTTATCATGTGGAAAATCCATAGAATTTTTTTCTACTTAGAAATAGGGACCCTCGTATATATAAAGATGAGGCACCACTATCTGGAGAATTCTCTCATTTTTACAGATATGGAAACTGAGGCCTATAGAGTCTACATAATTTGCTTAAGGTCAAATAGTTAGTTACTGACTAAACTAGATTCGAATTATCTAGACTTCAAAGCTTGTGGCCTTTCCACTATATTTGACTGCTTTTCTTGGTTTGTCTTAAAATAATCTATCAGAGTTCTGTTAGCAGTCAGTTTAGCTAAACTTTTCTTTCATCTGAGGGTTTTTAGGCCTGTGATAAGCATCTCAAAACCTAGTCTCCTTGACTCCTTAAATAGACTTCATTCCTGAGCCCACCTAGAGCCTGTGTGCAAAATTTTAAATATACAGTGTATATAAGTTGGTTATATTTATTTCAGAAACCTCTAATTTTCAAAATAAAATGTTAACCCAAATTCATGGTTTACAAAAAGTGGGTATGGATGTATGTCTCTGTATTCTTCCAAAAACTGTTCATGCATAGATAAGCATAGATAAAATATATTCCCTTTTAACAACCCAGTTCTCCTTTTAGCCTTCAGTTTAATTATATTGGTATATTATCTACTTATTTCATTAATAACGTAGCAAGGAAGAATAACTTTTAAGCAATTTTTTTTTAAAAAGCCCTTGCCAGTTTGGCTCAGCAGTAGAGAGTCGGCCCATGGACCAGAGAGTCCTGGGTTCAGTTCCCACTAAGGGCATGTACCTCGGTGGCAGTTTGTCCCTGGCCCTGGTTGGGGTTGTGTGGGTGGCAGCCACTCGATGTGTCTCTCTCACATCGATGTTTCTCTTTCTTCCCCCCTATTCCCCTCCTGCTCTATCTGAAGATAAATGCAAAAGTGTCCTCAGGTGAGGATAAAAATATATATATAGCCCTGGCCGGTTTGGCTCAGCGGTTAGAGCGTCGACCTACAGTCCTGAGAGACCCGGGTTTGGTTCCCGCTAAGAGCATGTACCTCGGTTGCAGTTTGTCCTCGGCCCTGGTCGGTTGTGCGGGTGGCAGCCACTCGATGTGTTCCTTTCACATCGATGTTTCGCTCTCTCTCTCTCTCTCTGTTCCTCTCTCTCCCTCCCATTCTACCTGAACAAAAAATGGAAAAAAATATATATATATTTATATATTTTATTTTATATATATATATTATTAATATATATATTTATATATATTTATATATTTTATTTATTAAATATATATATATTTTTTCTTTATTAATTTGAGAGAGAGAAGGGGAGAGGGAGATAGAAACATCGACGAGAGAGAACATCGATTGACCGCGTCCTGCATGCCCCCCCCACTGGTGATCAGGCCCACAACCTGGGCATGTGCCCTGACTGGGAATCGAACCAGGGACCTCCTGGTGCATAGGTCGATGCTCAACCACTGAGCCACACCAGCTAGGCTACTTTTAAGCAATTTAATATTGTTTTACTTAGTGTACCAGGTTCTTTAGAAAGCTAAAAAATTGTTTGTTTTCCTACTCCCCTCCCCTCCTTTTAAACCTGTTTTAAAGTCATTCTAGCTCCTGATTACCAATAGCCACCTTCTCCAGTAATTATATTTTAAAAGACTCTCTTGCCCTGGCCAGTTTGACTTAGTGGTTGGAGCATCGGCCTGCGGACCAGAGAGTCCTGGGTTCAGTTCCCACTAGGGGCACGTACCAAAAAAAAATGCTCTCTCTTTTTGGGGTATTGATTGACTTTTATAATATACTCATTTCTCTTATTGTCCTTGCCCTCTCTCCATAAAAAAGCATTTACTTGACTCTTGACTTTAAGAGACATTTGTATATGTGTGGGAGGGAAGCCAAGGGTTGGGAAAGGAGCACATTGATAGTATTTATAATGGTCTAGTCCTAAGCTGTATGATGTTTGTTTTATCATTATATTTTATAACTTAAATTTATGTGATATTTTATATGGATCAAATGTTAAAATACAATTAAAATAAAGATTATTTTAAAAGAGTGAGTGGGACAAGGGCAGGGGAAATAGAGACAATTTGTCCTGTACTCCAAAATGCCTGTTGTTCTTGGAGTATGAAGTTGGTTTAAAAAAATTGAATTCAAAAAAAAAAAAAGAATTTTTTCCAGTACAATGGGGAAAGAATAGTTTCTTGTTTTTAACAAATGATACTGGGACAACTAACTGGGTGATTTTCCATATTGAAAAAAATGAAGTGCCACCCTACCTCATACCATATACAAACATTGACTGTAAATGGTCAAAGACCTAACTGTAACAACAGCTAAACTATAAAAGAAGCAAACATAGGTGTAAATCTTTATGACCTTGACTTAGGCATGTTTTCTTAAATGGTGCACCAGAAACATAAGTACAGGAAAATTATATGAATTGGACTTCATAAAAATTAAAACCTTTTATGCTTCAAAAGACCCAATCAAGAAAGTGCTGGCTGGTGTGGCTCAGTTGATTTGAGTGTCATGCCATGCACCAAAGTCGCCAGTTCAATTCCCAGTCAGGGCACATGCCAGGGTTGCAGGCTCGATCCCCAGTGAGGGAGGTGTGCAGGAGGCAACTGATGGATGGTGAATGGTTCTCTGTCTTTCATCAGTGTTCCTTTCTTCTCCTCCACATCCTCCTCCTCCCACTTCTTCTCTCTCCAACATCAATAAAAACATATTAAAAAGAAAAAAGTGAAAACATACAACCCATAGAATGGGAGAAAAATTTAGCAAATAATGTATCTCATAAGGGACTTGTATCTAGAATAAAGAACTAGTATAATTCAGTAATAAAAAGATAATTCACTTGTTATTTTTTTATCATTAAACACAATTCAATTTTTTTAATGGGCGAAGGATCTGATTTTACGATTTTCCAAAGAAGATATATAAATGGAAATAAACACATGAAAAGGTGCTCAACATCATTAATCATTAAGGGAAATGCACATCAAAACCACAATGAGATACCACTTTACACTCACTAGGATGGCTATAATAAAAAAGATGGATAATAACAAGTGTTGGTGAGAGTGTATTTTGCTGGTGGGAATGTAAAATGGTGTGGCCTCTTCGGAAAATAGTTTGGCAGTTTCTCAAAAAGTTAAATGTAGAGTTATAATGTGACCCAGCAGTTATACACCTAGTTGTATACCCAAGAGAATTGAAAACATCTTCACAGAAATACTTGTGCACAAATGTTCAAAGCAGTATTATTATTATTATTTA